GGGTAATTATCCAGCGACACATTAATATGCAGTTGTTGTGGGCTTAAACTTTTCTGTGGTTACACAGGTAAGGTGTTTTGGGATGTCTTTTAACAGAGTTCTACATGGCTAAGGCAGCGGACAATCAGAGTCTTTGCCAGTTCAACACAGTGTGGGTTTGTGATTGGGCTGGTTGCCCGTGATCTCAGGACTTTTCACGCTTGTTGAGGACCACTGGTATATTTCAAGAAAGATATTTAGTGCTGTAGAGTGCCATATGCACTGGCAAGTGCTTCGTATACTGTATAGGTCGTGCTGATGAAGTTTGAAGTGATATATGATGTTGAATTTTATGAAATCCGCAGCCTCCATTGGTCAACCACATAAATATTTTTTAAATAAATATTTTTTTTTTTTATTACTATTTTAATTTAAATCCAACCAGCCTCCCTGGGAAAGATGGAGTGGGTTCATTGGACTAGCTGTAGGGGCTGCTGGGCTTGTGTGCAGGAAGGCAGGTTGGTAAAGTAGGCAGCGATCTGTGATCTTCCTGCTAAGCTCCCTCACGCACCGGTTAGTGATGCTGGGAGCCGGAGTGATGTTGTAGTCCTGCCCCAGCAACACATAGCGGTGTGTGAGGAAGCTGAGCAGGAAGAGCTCACAGATCAGCGCTCTCTCGCTGATCACCTGTAATATAACTGGCCGTCTACCTTGGGGAGGGACCCAAATGTGAGCAGCCAGCAGATCTGGGCCCCAGGACTAGCAAGCATTTTTTGCAGCCCCCTGGAAAGTGCCGCACATGGCAAATGCCTTGTTAACCTCACAGTAAATACATCGCTGCACACCAGGGGTAAATTTCTCCTTGCCAAACCTGCATTGTCACTAGCCAGTTGGCGAGTGGAAATGTTGAGCCTTAATGTTAAGTAAATAATACACAGAACTATTGGAATAAAAAAGGAAACACAGCAAGAAAGAAGGAGGGGGTATAAACTGTAGATTTATAAAATAAAATTACTGATTCACTAATTTGTAAAGCAGACAAACAAAAAGATTGACATGGTTATTCACTAAAGTAAGAATTGATGGAAATTCAAAGTAAATTTCAAAACTTAGAGCAAGAGAAATGAAAAGGGGTGGGAACTGGTGGAGTTTGAATGAAATAGAGTGATGGCGAGGTGAAAGACAACCTCACAAGTGGAAGGAAACAATCAGGAACGGCTGCCAAGAGTGGTCGGGGGTAATTATCCAGCGACACATTAATATGCAGTTGTTGTGGGCTTAAACTTTTCTGTGGTTACACAGGTAAGGTGTTTTGGGATGTCTTTTAACAGAGTTCTACATGGCTAAGGCAGCGGACAATCAGAGTCTTTGCCAGTTCAACACAGTGTGGGTTTGTGATTGGGCTGGTTGCCCGTGATCTCAGGACTTTTCACGCTTGTTGAGGACCACTGGTATATTTCAAGAAAGATATTTAGTGCTGTAGAGTGCCATATGCACTGGCAAGTGCTTCGTATACTGTATAGGTCGTGCTGATGAAGTTTGAAGTGATATATGATGTTGAATTTTATGAAATCCGCAGCCTCCATTGGTCAACCACATAAATCACGAGCCCCTTGCAGAGATCTGTATGGATATTGACGCCACTATGAAAGGT